GTGTAGATGCTCCTTAGTAACAGCCTAAGAGCTCATGCCCACTTCAGAAGGGTAGTTTGTTCTCCTCTTTTGAAACAGTTAAAAGTTCTCTTTCTTCAGCCAGAGAGTTAATTGTGAAGTATTTTGCTAGAATAACCTAACCTAACCTTTTGTAGAAACAGGCTGCTGTGGTTCCCTGCTTTACCTGTGGCAGGTAAGGGTGTTATGTCATGTGTTATGTCAGGGTTTGTGGTAATCTTACCAAGAGTTTAAATTATGGATTGTAGAGGATGGTTTGGATAGGGATGATCCTGCCCAGGGACAGAGTTGGACTAGATGACCTCTGGAGTTCCCTTCCAGCCCTACTTCTCTGTGATTTCTGTAACATCCCAGACTCCAGAATGATTTATTTTTTTCAAGGTCACACAGGTAGTAAGAGATTTCCTGCTCAGAAAGGAGCAATAACTTTTATGGAGCTTCAAGGAAAAGGAAGCAACTGCATTGCAGGAACAACATGTGGCAATGTGTGTTTTGGAGCATGGTTGCCTGGTATCCTGCTGTTGTTACTTTACTGAGGAATGGCAGCAAGCAGAAAAGAGATAGAGATTCTATCTGTGCTGTTTCAAGGACATGCTTGAATTTCCATAATCCTTGAGAGATGCTGGGGTGAGTACATATGATGTAGCTGAATCACAGACAGAGAGAAAGGGAAACTGAAGGTCCCCCTATCAGGGGGACAGCTGCATAAAGAAATGCAATATAAGCCAAAAGAAAATATCTGGGTTTCACATCCTACACCAAGTGAATGATAATGCTTCTTGATTAAACTAAAGGAATTCATTCATATCAACTATAGTAGCAATTAGTGACAATGGTTAGGCAGCTGGTGTGCTGTGACCACTGCTTATTAAGCTAAACATAATTGTCTTACTACTACCTTGGGCTTCTGTCTGTTTTTTAGGATCCATCTGTTGTCTCCTGGCTCACAGTTAAACTGCTGCCTCTTTGGGGCAGGGACTGTCTTTTCATTATGTGCATGTACAACTGGGGCTTTCCCACACTATTGAAAACACAGGCAAATACAGAAGTAGTAAATAAGGGAAAACAGGTTATTTATGTCTCCCTTGAATGCCAATTACTACTTAAAAGGCATTAATGTTAATGAGACAGAGTCTGTAATACAGAAACATGTTTAACCACAAGAGAGCTGCAAACTCATTTGCTCCAGGCATAGCCTTGACAATTCATAAGATAAGGAGTGCCTCTCACCACATAGTCATTATGATGGTTATTACTGCTGCTTGCTGTTTGCAGAACTCTGACATCCATGCAGCATGCAGGGCGAAACCATGTTGCATTCAATGGGAGTTTTGTCACTTACTTTGGCAGGGCCAAGATTTCACCCGTGATGTCCTTAAAGATCAAGGTGTGCTTAGCTATGTTGGTGCAAATCCAGAGGCTCAGACTTCAGTGAAGGAGGGTGGAGGAGGACACCAGGGAGACTTGGAGTTCCTTCATTCTCTGGCCCAGGGCTGACCAGAATCTGATTAGCCAAGCTCAGTAGCTCTTGAACATTCAGACTTGAATTCCTTAGGCTCAGGGCACACCTTAGAAAATGCCAGCTCTTAGTTTTCACTCACTTCTTGACTCCAGGAAAAAAACAAACAAACAAGTCTGCCTGTCTTTCTTTTGCAAAAAACTCAGATAGATCACAACAGGGCAGAATCTTTTTAACACTATGAATTCCTGTCTAAAATCTCTGAGTTTATCTTGTGAATCCTGTTTGCACACCGAATTGTGCTAACCTTGCATAGCACCCTGCTGCACCCTTGAAAGGATCTCAAGCCACCCTGGGGTGGTGTGACACCCTGCTTGAGACTCACTGGCTTAGAGATTCAAGGAGCCAAAACCAGCTCCTTAAAGACTACTCTTCCACCTGCTCCAGGAGCTCCTCGAATTTATCCCAGCTGGCTACAGTTCCCAAGGCCAAGAGGGCCTGACAGAGCCGTTCCCATTCTTGTACCCTCTGTGTCAGGAAAAGGGTGGTGGGTGTGGGAAGTGGGCAGGGTAGAAGCTAGCATAGTGACCTTCAACTGGGATAAAAAAGGGCCAGCAGGAACGGGGTGGAGTTGAGCCAGAGAAGCTGGCCCAGAGTGACTTCCTTACCATAAATGCAGTTGATCCAGATTCATATTGATGTAAAGGCATTAAATAACTATGAGACTTCAGTGCAATGCACTGCAGTTGTTGGGATAGAAGAGATTCATCTCCTAGATTCTCCTGCTTAAACAGGAGTGTTTCTCAGATACTTATGCCAATACTTCTAGAAGTAGAAGCTGCTTTTAAGATCCTGGACTTAAGCCTGCATCTCTAGTTAATGTTTGTCTGTAACCGGATACATTGGCAATGTCAACTCTTTATTTTATCTGATGAGCTGGAACCAGCTTGCAGGCAGATGGTTTGTTCCACTGATCAATGCTTGCTTAGGCCATAAGCTCTCAAAGGCAGGGATGTGCTTTCTGTTTTGGGCTGGCTCAGCACTGAACACAATGGCATCTTGATTCATGACAGGAGCTCATGGGCACTAGAATCATAGATTCCTAGGTTCAAAAGTTCTCACTAGCCATCTAGTCCAGCCCCATGGATTCAGTATTCCTAAATCATCCAAGACAGATGCTTACCCAGCCTTTTTCTGAAAACCTCTACTACTGTCGTACAAATAATAACAACATATAATATCCTACTTCCATGTTTTTAAAGCTGACGTAAGCTCCTCTGACTTCCCCCAGTGTTGTCTTTGTGAACACTTCTGTTCCAAGCAAAACAGCTCTAAAAAGGCCTTGATATCCTATAGAATATATCCAATCCACTCAAAGCAGCCAGCTCATTTTGAATGTTATACAGCAGGCTTATTTTGGAAAAAAAAATTGGAGCGCCCTCTGGTGACCTAGAATAAAAACCCAGGTTTGGTCAGTATAGTATTCTACACAGAAAAATAATCGTGCATTTCCTTGAGATTTGCCAAGCACCATTTTCTGCATATTGTCTCCCCACCTAATCTCCATTCCTGGGAGGAGGAGCTGAAAAGGATACCAAACTAGGTATCTAGTTGTTTCTGCGTGGCAAAGACAGAGCACACATCCGTGTTCTATCCAATTAGGACAGTCTTCCAGATTCCTCTTCCAGTCTACGCAGCTTCCACTGAGGGAGGCCACCATGGATCTTTTCTGCTGGTGAGCTTGCAGGGCATGACACAATACTGAAGTGTAACTGGTGTGAGAAGATGTGATACAGACAGAAGATAAAATCTGGTAATCTTTTAAAAAAAACAATTCTACTTAACTATCATGGTGGTAAGGACTCTAGTGTGTACCCTGACAGACATCTAGGCATCCTGATCTCGTTGCCTATACACCAGCAAATGTCCCATTAGACTTACAGGCTAAGTACAAACACTCAAAAAGCCTGAGGCTGAATTGATTCAGTCTTTGCAGGTTAGTCTAAGCTGCAAAGATTGAACCAATAAGCAAATGAACAGACATTCACTTTTGATTCAGGAAATGCAGCCACATTCAAGCCAGAAGCCAGGGGGCACTGCAGCACAGCACTCTGGCACAGCCAGCATGGCCTATGTGTTCGCTTCTTCTTTCTGTGGCCCCCGAGGTCTCTGGGATTTGCAGTTCATAATCGCAGCAGCAGGACTCTGTGGGGTTGCTACTTCCTCTTTCTGCTTCCAGGTGCCTCTGGGATTTGTAGTCCACAGCTGCAGCCAGCAGGGCAGGGCAGCTTTGTACCTGGGGAAAGGGAGTTTAATCCCCCTCCCTGGCCCCAGACCCCAGCCAGGGTTTGCCTGGTGGGGGAGCCGTGAACCAGCTGGTGAGGCCAGTGAGCTAGCCATGGGGAGCAGAGGGATGGGGCCAGCCCTGCTCTCTGTAGCAGCAGCACAGCTCAGCCCAGGGCTGCAAAATGCTTAGATGCTGGGGGACTCTGATTTAACTTGAAGCAGGAAGAGATCTGGGACAGAAGTTTTGTAAACCTGTTTGACCTAAATCAGCTAAGTCTGATACTACATTCAACCAGGTTTATTTTAAACCAGTTTCAGCCATTTTGAAACTGGTTTATGTGCACTGAACTTCTGTTCTGTTACAGGTTTAAACCAGTTTCTGATGACTTAAACTGGTTTATGTGTAACTTCTGTCCCTAGCCACAACACTTTTTATCTTTCTTTTACTTCCTTTTTATTACTGGGTATATTTGCTTAATAACTGGATCTTTGCTGTTTAACTTTATTTTGACTCTCCTGGCCTGACTTGAACTCATACTCCTCTATGACATAACCTCTCCCTTGGAAACCAGAGAGAAGGTCATATACCCCAAGTTGTTGACAGTTCTATCTGTAAAACATCAGCTACTCTTTAAAATAAACTGAGATGTGGCAAGTGCAGCTCATGATATGCATATTCATCAGATTTACTCTGCAGTCCTTGGTAGCAGGGCTCCTATAGTGACCCTGGCAGAAATGAAAGTTGTTTGACCAGAGTCCCAGTGGGAATGTCAGTGGTGGTAGAAACACACGCTAACCTCCCTGTGCATAAACAGAGAGAAAAATCAGAAGGCAGACATTCAGTCATTCTCCAACTCCACAGGGGAACATCTATCTCAGGATATCTCCTAATTTTCCTTTGTGATATCAGTAGTTCTTTAAATTCAGTTTATTTCCATATTGTAATGGGACTCAGGAATAGCTTCTAAGTGAAATACAGAAATCACCAGCACAAATCCAATTTGTTTACTGGCCTTCTGGATGGAAATCCATTTACTGGAATAAGTGAAGTGAGGAAATGAAGGACTGAGCAAATCAAGTTGAGTCCTCACCTGACTACCCTCATTCCACATGCAGGTTGGAAGGGCATTGCTGCTGATTGGACGATACAGGCAAATAAAAGAGGTGACTTGACTGTGAATGTGTCCCTGATGTGTGTGCTTGGATGGGGCAGAGAAAGGTGAAGATCACTAATAGTAATGATAATTTTATGTTTATTATGGTAATATCTAAGTGTGAGCCAAAGATGGGATTCCATAGTGCTGCAATCTGTGCATCTAGAAGAATTTCCTTGCCCTAAACTACTTACAAAATAAATAAATAAGACAGACATAATAGTACAGTTTCCAAAAAAGGATGAGTAAGGCTAAATTAATCTGAAGTATATTCAGTGTAGTTTAAGTATATACTAGATTTTAGACCAAAATATGGAGAGCAGTTTGGAAAATGTTGATGCACTGGAATGATCCCATATTTACTTACATATGCCCTTCATGGCATTTTGTGTTGTTATGACTTACTAAACTGTCAGGCTCAATCTCTTCATGCTTTTAGATCTCAGTCTTGCCCACAGAGTTCAGTTTTGTCCATTTGGCCAAGGAGAGCCCCAGGGAATGGTTTGAGGAGTCTCTCTAATTCCACAACAAAAGCCATGGAAATTGGCTTATGACACTTATGCTGCTCTACAACCCATTTAGCCAAGTTCACATCAAAGGAGTATAAGTCTGTATAAATTCCAGAAATGAAAAGCCTTGTGTGGATTGATACTTTTTAGAAAAGTTGTGACTATGATAAACACATTTAGCAATAAGCTGTTATATCACTAACTACAACTGCCTGATATTGCACCTAAATCTAAAATGAGCCCTGTAGTCTGATCTTCCATTTTCAGGGACCTACAACTACTAATGTGAATCAGTGGAAGCTTCCATGTGCTCATATCCTTTGAAAATTAAGCCCTGTAGGTCCTGATCTCATTGTATGTATAGAAGTGTGTGATCAGGCCCTCTGGCTTCCAGTAGCAATCTACCCATGTGAGGTACCCTGCAGGAATGGGACCCAGGGACAGATCCAGAGGGGGTGCAGTGGTGTGGCTGCCCCCCCCCCCCCTTTCAGACTGAACTGTGCTGCTGGAGCTTCAGGGGACTTTTAAAAAGTTCCCAGAGTCAAGGAGAATTTTCTCTTCCTCTTCATGCTTGCAGACATGTCTTTTCCCCTTCTGCTGGCCCCCACCTGTCATGGCTGCTTTCCCTGTTGTCCTAAGGGTGAAGCAATGATCAGAGCTGCTCCTGCTCACTCCAGCTGGGCTGCAAAGGGGCTGAGCTCACCTAGGGCAGGGACAGCAGCAGTGGCTTCCTGCACCCACTCCTAAGGGGGACTGAGAAGTGTGGGGGAACCCATCCTCTCCCTGCTGCTGCTGTTCCCAGCTAAGCCCAAACCCTACACAGCCCAACCTGAGTGCGCAGGAGCAGTTCTGAAGCTTCCCGTGACCCTGGGACAGCAGGAAAAGCAGCAGTGACTGGAGGAGGAAGAGAGGGGTGGAGATGGGAGCAGAGCAGATGTGCCTCTGAGCACAGAAGGGAAAGGGGGTAGGTAGGCTTACCTGCTTTGGGAACGTTAAAAGTCCCCAGATGCTCCTGCCACAGGTTCTGCCTGCACTGGTGAGTTGGAGGGGAGGAGGCCGAGAACAGGGACGGCTGCTTCCTGCATCCCATTTTGCCAAATCCTGGATCTGCCCCAATGGGGTCTACATACTGATTAATGTGTCTAGCTTCATTTTCCCAAGTATGGAAACTGGATATGTGCTGATATATTTTCCCTCTGAAAATTACTGATAAAAAAAATCAGTTAAGAAGGAGTAACAGGAAATGGTAATTCCAGGTCATTAATTACCACTGGTGTTTTCTTTTCGGTACCATGAAATGTTACATAGCAACAGATGTTCCCAACCATTCTATGGTATTTCTTACCTCAAAGGCCTTTCTCAGGTTCGGACCTACCCTGAACCTTTCCTCTTATCACTTTCTCTTCCACTCTCCCGGTGACTCCAGACTTGACGCCCCATTTGTGTCTTTCTCTCTGACCAGCCCATCATTCACCTGTGCAGAGGACTACTTCATCTGAACTCCACCTCCTGGCTTGGTGTGCCAAGCTACAATATCCTTGTTATTCATATCTAGCATACACACCTATGGCAGAGAATTGGGGGCAGTGGTACTCTGAACTGAAACATCCTAGGGAAATCCCAGGCCCACTGAAGTCAATAGGATTTTTGCCATGATGTACAATGGAGTCAGGGTTTTGGCCCCTGTATTTTTGTAACTGTCTCCTCTGTTCCCACTTGTTCATCTCATTCCCTCATCATATCTTATAATTTAGGTTACAAGTTCTTTGGGGAAAGCACTATTATTAACTTTCTGTTTGCCTAGCACCTAGCACAGTGGGATCCCAGTGAAACCAAAGACATTGGGTACAACGTAAGTATTAAACAGAACAGAAAAATATTGTATGTCTGCAATGGTTGCAAGATGTAAAATTTTGTAGCAGAGTTAAAGAAACCAACCCACTGACATCAATGGAAATACTAAGTTAATACATGCTTGGTAACTCCAGAGTATTATGATTACCACTCCTCCTCTGCCTGGTTCCCTTCCTCCTTTAGCTGTTGATCATAGGTCTGGATTTCAGTAGGACACTGAAGTCTCCAGAATGTAGTTGGGTACTCTCAAATAGAAATACAATGCGGTAGAAAAAAATCTAATCAAAACATCTGCCCCAGATTGCTGCCATCCCCTGCACTAGGACATGGACATTAAATAACTCACAGCTACTCCTTGGCTATTGTTTCTGCTGAAGACAAAGAGGAGAGAAAGAGGCAGACCGCAAGTGTGTGGTATTTCATTTAACAGCACATTCTGAGTTTGAAATCCACAAGATCAGCCAAGCCACAAGCCAGCATTCATTCCTCCGATAAAAGAATTCAATTGAAAGTGGGATCCGGGTTGTTTGGTCTCTGAAACATTAGAGATGTGAACTGTTGCTCTGTCTGGCAAATACTGGGCTATTGACAATCAAGAGCTATTCACTAGCTTGTGTGTAGCATAAGTGTCACACTCCTTCCATTACGTCTGAGCCGCACAGAATTCGGAGTCAGGGAATTGTTATCTGTAGAAGTTGGTGCAAGGAGAGGGGTTTCATTGGCTGAAGGACTTGTAACCTGCCATAGCTTAGCATCCTGGAAGCACTGGGGTTACAACCAGCTCCCACTGAAAGCAATGGGGGTGCTGCCACTGGCTTCAGTGGGAGCAGTGTTCTCTGTCAAGCTGCCGAGCGTGCTCCCCCACCCCTGAGCTGGTGTGGAACTGCCAAACTTTTAGCTCTTTCCAACTCTACTGGAGCCATCCAAATGACTCCCTGGTTTCAGTGAGTGCTGGATCCTTCCCCATTATTCCGACTGCCCTTGATCAACAGTGCCTCATCAGCCTTGCTGAAAGCATTGGGTGCATCCACAATCTCACTGATGCAGCCAGTTTCACAGTAGCAGTGTGGGAGGTGCGCATACCACTGTGGCGCAAGGTGTGTTCGCCTAGCAGCTAATATAGGGCTGGTTGTAGTTTAGGAGGGATCCATTGCAGAGAGCAAAACAGAGCCAAGCCTTTCTTTTCACCAGTATTTTACCTCCTCCTCTTCTCTAGGCTTTTCCTTCTTATTGAAGTAACTTCCCTCTCCCTGCCCACTTTCAGCTTTGCACCTCAACTCTCCTCCTCACCCTCAGCCCCTTGGGGAAGGGAGGAGAGGAGGTCAAGGAGGGACTCCAGTCTGTTGCTAGGGGAGGGAAGGAGCTATCTGAGATTGAGGGGAAGGGAATTAAGAGCAGACGAAGACAGGAAGGAGTGCAAGAGCAAGGAGGAGTCCAAGAGAGGGAGAGAAGATGCAGAAAGAAGGGAAAGGAGTAGCAATGGCAGAAGAGAAGCAGAAGGATTCAGAAGGGGGTGGGCGAAGGAAGGGAGAAAATCCCATTACATATGGGCACTGAAATCTATTGACTTCCATAGCAGTCTGCTTGTATGGGTCACAATGCAGGCCTGGGACCACAGCAAACCTCCACCTTTACTTCTAAACCCTCTGCTTTCTCTTCTGCTGTTAGTAGTTGTTCATCCCTGTTGTCTCTAGTCCCTGGCCAGGGATGTCAAGTTGGTCTGCTTTTTACAGTATGAATTGCTGATGCACTTTGAGTGATGCAGAAATGGAACAAACCATCCCCTACTGAATCACTGAGCCCAACATCTGTGTGGCCTCCCTCGGCTTTGCAGCTGTCTTAACATAGAAAGGACATTGTTTATTTCCATTCACTTATCTAAACCACTTGCAACAGCATAACAGCGTGTCTTCACACTTGAGGGACAGGCCTCATCCCTTACAAGTGATACGGCACAGCTAGGGTGTAGGTGGACACTAAGGATGATCAGTGGGGTGGTCCCCCCATTTTATGGCTGAGTTACTGTGTGCCTCTGCCAGACCTGCCTGTGCTGGGAACTGTCAGCCACAATTAGCTCATCTGGTTGCTGCCCCTGGGCGTGTAACACAGACTCCCTCCAGTCACTTTCCAGCTTCTCTCTTGCTCATTTTTCTAAGGCCCTCTGGCACTCTGCAGCCCTTCCTCTTGTTCCTTTCCAGTTATTTCTTAAGGCAGCCTGCCAGCTGCTCCTCTCCAAGTCCAGCTCAGTTGCTTCTGTCATGCTCTACCCTCTTCTCTTGGCTTGATCTTTCAAGTCCTTGCAACACCAGAGCAATGAAAAATACATGAAGTGGGAACCTCCCTTCAGAGTTTGCAGTCCTGCATATGGAAAACCATATCCAAAGAGACACGTGCCTGCACTACTTCACTGAAGGAGCTCAGACACAAGGCAGGATTGCTTTCTCAAACAGAGATTTTCAGCTTATATATTTTCCTGAGCTGGCCATTCAGGGTACCTATTGCAAAATCAGCCAGGATATGAATTTTATAGGGCAGAAGGTCTTCTGGACTCCATGCCCCCGTGGACACGCTGATTTCACAAGTGTGCCTCTGTGCAGATTAGTTCAGTTCACTTTGGGAGTGGATTAAGCAAAATCACTTTTAATGTAGAAAGAGAATGCCCATTTAGGGAGCCAGTGCAGAGTAATGAGTGCACAAGAGCTGGTCTGCCAAGCTATTTGGCCCATTTTCCTGTATAGACAAAACTCTTCTTCTGCCCTGCAGGGCTGCCTACTCCTTTCCCTTGTTCCCTCTTACCTCAGGAAGAGTCTTAAGCCATCTAAATTGGTATTTAGTGGTCCCCTGAAGGAGGTAGTGAAGTCATCTGTGACTCCTAACCCACCTCTTTCCATCTACATCTCATGTTATGGTCTGTGCTGAAGCTGTCTACACTTCAGCATAAACACTGTGATCATGCCATGAGCTGTATCCTATGATGTCTGGTTCCATGTGAACCAGGACCCATCTAGGATTTGGCCCACAGCTAGCTCATCTGCCCTCCACATCCCCAGGAATGGAAGGTCTGCACAAACTTTATGTTCCTGATTTAAATTCATGGGACCTACCTGGTTTGGATATCAGACTTCTGATGGGGGGCCTCCTCCGTCCCTCTGCTGTCTTATGTGGCAGAGGGGCAGCCAGGCTGCCAAGGAGCTGCCAGTGGCCAGAGGTTTCAATTACTGCTCAGAGGCCAGGTGAATGGATGGCACTGCTGGGCTTCAGGTGTCAACACCTGCTAACAGGGAACTTTGTCCCCAGAGTTGGCTTGTCTCTTTGCATCCTGGCATACCAGGGCTTTCTGAGCTTCAGGGGCCAGAGCTGTTTCTTTCACCAGCTCCTTCCATGCCATTGTGGCTCATTCTGGTGCTGTCAGTTCTTTCTCTTCTCAAAAGGACTGAGGTTGTCAGGGCACAGGAATGAGTAAAGGAAGAGTTGACTTGATTAGGCAGATTCTTAGCTGTCACATAGGAGGCCTTGGACTCTCTAATTTATTTTTGACCAATTCACGCTGCCCCCCCCCCACAGCACTCCTACTACCCCTCCTTGCACAACCTTCTCCCCACAGTCCTAGGGCACGGGTGTTACTGTCAGGTTCTTGCTGGAGCCAAGACTGCAGCCAGGATGTAACTGGTGTCCCTGCTCAACAACCAGTGCCTCAAATTCTGCCTGTAGCGGTGTGCGTAGAGTTCCCTTTGGCTTGCAGCTTAGACTCGACACAGGAGCACGACAGGGGAGAAGCTTCTAAAAGAGCATGGCAGTTGGTGGGGCTAAAGGGACAGAAAAGCACATAGTCTGGAGTTAGACTTTAGTTAGTAAGTGTGGCCTTACTAACTGGCTCCTACCTGCTGGCTGGTAACCTGGGCCAAATTAATTAAAATTAAACCCCTCCTGTGACTTGCTAGTGTCATTTCTGCTGAACCAAATAGTAGCTGATGCTAGTGACATGAGCCTGAATGCTGAGGCAGAGCTGGTGAAAACATTATGGAAAGATGCTGGAAGGAAGAACCGAGTTTAAGACACTTGGGCAACACAAGCGTTTAACTCATTTTCAGTTTGTTTTATTCTTTTTTATCTAATAGTACCACACCTCACAGCACCTATTCTGTAATTCATAGCAGACAACAATATAATTGTACGTTAGATACCAACAACCAGATTTTGACTGGCCCTCATGTGAGTGGACAAAAATGCAAGGACACTGGGACTCCATAATACTTCTACCATCTTCATGCGGAAATTAGGTGCAAATACAGTTCCCCCCAAGCTCAGGGACTACTCTGTCCTAGTGCCTTCAAGTTGCAAGCCATCCAAAAGGGTGCACAGAAGAGACGGGGAGATGGCAGAGCTGGACAGATGCAGGAAGGAGGGATAGTGAAACAAGTTTGTTTCCCTGCCAGCTGTTTTAAATGTATTGGAGGACGAATTTCTTTGAACCAGATTTCCCCTGCCATAATATGGTTTCTTATTGCCCTTAACTAGTTTGTAGAAAAATTTAGCACAATTGTGGCCAGATTTGCAAAGCTGAAATGTCTCAGAAAAATACCTTCCCTAAGGAGCTCTCCTGTGAATCATGACCCAGCTTTGGCTGCAACATGGACTTGTTCTGCATCCCAAACTAAATCTTAGCACGTGTATGAGAGCTGAACTAGATTCTGTTGTTTTTGTTTCCCTCTCAGGAAGTGTCCTTAAAACAGTCAAGGAATGAGATCTACTCAGGAAATGTTTTTTTAATACTAAATACAGCTCATTTTCACACCAAAATTGGTGGAGAGCCAGCTGGCCTGACCACTAACGCCTCATCCAGTCTTTGGAAGTCTCAAACAGTCAAAACAAAGGAACTTTCCTTAAGATACATTGCACTATTTCAAGGGCAAATTTAACTCTGCCTATGAAAGCCCACTGATTTGAATGGCACACTTGGGATGTCACTCCAGAAAGACTGCCCTGAATTGTCCTTTTGTTTGCAAACGACTTGAGGCAGGCCTGATTGTCGATAGTTTTCTTAGCAAGTGACATTTACACCATGTGACCTGAATAGAAAAGAACATGTTTTCCACTTGATTGGTACCCTTTATACCACTGTACCAGTTAACTTTTCCGTGAGCTCTGGGTAGAGTGTGTGGTACAGCAGAGGTATTATCTGCTCTTTGCTCTCCAAAAGGTGAACTTAGTCAATGGGAAGGGGAAAACAGAAAAACAGTAAAATGGCCTCCTTTTCTGTGAAGGTTTAATATCTCTCAGTGTCTTTCAATGAAGCACATTGAGCAGACTGAACAGCCAGATGACTGTGATACAGTAAGATACTGTGCAGCTCCTTTTCCATGTACAGTCAAAAAGTTTTCTGAGTATCTCACACAGGGAAAATGAGATGGAATTAAAATAAGTTGACCTAAATAAGTAGGTAGATGTAGGTTCAGGGAATCCATATGTACAACTCCAGTGAGCTTGACCTCATGGTTAAAATAAAATCATAGAAAGTTAGGACTGGAAGGGACTTTAGGGGGTCATCTAGTCCAACCCTCGGCTCAAGACAGGACCATCCCCAACTAGATCATCCCAGCCGAGGCTTTGTCTAGCCAGGTCTTGAAAACCTCCAAGATTGGAGGTTCCCCCACCTCTCTGGGTAACCTGCTCCAGTATTTTACTACTCTGCTAGTGAGAAAATTCTTCCTAATATCTAACCTAAACCTCCCTTGCTGCAACTTGAGACCATTGCTCCTTATTCTGTCATCTGCCACCATGAGAACAGTTTAGCTCCATCCTCTTGTGAACCCCGCTTCAGGTAGTTGAAGGCTGCTATTAAATGCCCTCTCAGTCTCCTCCTCTCTAGACTAAATAGTTTCATAGTTTCATAGATTTAGGGTCGGAAGGGACCTAGTAGATCTTCTAGCCCGACCCCCCGCCAGGGCGGGAGAACAACAAAAAACCCCAAAAAGAGAAACGGGACTCAAATGAGTCCAGCCAGGTAGGCATCCAGCCTCTTCTTAAAGACCCCCAGGGTAGGGGCCAGCACCACTTCCCTTGGAAGTTGGTTCCAGCTCCTAGC